CCTCGCGCGCTTATTCAAAACTCAGATATATGTTTGCTATCATTTGAAGGAATGCTCCTCGATGCAAGAAACAATTTATTATGAGCTATATTTAACAATTATTCGCCGAAGGCGAAGTGATTATCAATGAATATTTATGTGGCGGGGATTGAAGATGGCGGTCGAGGGAAGCTCGGATTGACAATAATTTGTAATAATTGCCATCTTTCTTCCTTATGGACACGTAAAACTTTGATAGACACTTGTTTAATTCACTTGTATCCATGTCTTCAAAGCTGACAGTTAATTCAGACTGTTGTTGAAATCATTCTGTCAAAAAATGCATCGAGTAAATTGTAAACAAACCAGGCGAAAACCTACAAATTTCAGCCTTTTTGACGTAAAACGATAGATAAAAAAGTAGTTTTAGACAATGTTTTTATTATTAAATAAACAAAAATTACCTGTAAAAGTTTTAATCCATTTTTTTAATCCAATTGTTTAATCCAACGACTCGCGGACGACGCCATTTTGCGAAAAAATCCAATATTCACCGATAGGTGAACATCGCTCATTGAAACGTCAAATTCGACCAATCAGCGCGCTAGAATTATGATATTCACTTATGAAATTATACTAAAAAGAAATATAGGTCACTACATTAGTTTTTGAGCAGTATAGCACGCGAAATGGTTGAATTATGTTCTTCTAAAAGTAGCTTAGCGCGCTGGAAACGCTAGCTGGCGCGCGGACTCTTGCAGGTAGCGCAGTAAGAGCGTTGGAAATTGCAATCATGTGGAATGGCCTGGAGTCATATTTATATTGTAGTGCATGGGTACGTTATTTGCTTTCTATGTCCATAGGCGGAAATGGCTGCAGGAATCTTGGCGATTATCGTGTTACAAGACATTTTTCGGGAACTTGTAAGCTGTGCGACTTTTCAAATAGAGCCGGTACTTGGATCAAGATACTTTTAATGCTAGGCTTCAAAATGATGTTTACACGCTGAGCATAGCTACCACCAACTAACCTGTACAAGATGTCAATCTAACTTTATAGTGGATATCTTACAAAGTAGGATGACAGCAAATTGACAGGCTGTATTGCAGTATGATTGGATAGAAAATAACTTGACGTAATAAGATTTGATTTACTAATGAGATATTCAATCGAGGCTGAGAGAGAAAAGGCTATGCCCCGATATAGTTTTAAGTTCAAATTGAAGATGAAAGTAAGACAGAAGATAGCTCTAACAGAAAACTAGCTTTTTATCAAGTTATATTATAAAGATATGCAAAACGAACGATGCTACAAGGCTTTGAACTAACGAAGCTAAATGGAATATTCAGTCGAAATTAATAGAAAAGATAAGATAGAAATAAAACCAGAGAGTCTCGAGGTGCAACCAGACTTTACTTTAGTCAAGGAACACAACTCAAACAAGACAAAATAGAAAACCTATAAAATAGCAACCTAAGTTATATTCGAACAAATGTAATGGAATCCTAAAAAACAGCTAGGAGAAACGTTATATGTACGAAACGTATGTCATATTTTATGTATAACCAATATAATGTCAAATTAAGTATCTGTTGCATTAGAGCAAAACCGCAAGTGGAGCTTGACGGTAACCTAGTAACAAGCTTACTAGAAAACTAATTCACAAATATAGATCCGATAATGTTGTCTTATAACAATCGCGCTGAAAAAAATGGCTAGTGTAAACCGACCTTTAATATACACTGCACACTCATTTCAAAAAACGTGTTGTCGTGGAGAACGCCCAAACGTCGATTGTCGAAATGAGATTGCATAACCAAATAGGAATATGGTTGTGTTGTTTGACATACAAACATTTCACTTTTTGGATTCACTTTAAGACAAATTGGAGGTAATGATTATCTATCTTACATATGGTTCCTTACCATGGTTCCTTTCGCCGGTCGTGTCATCTCTGCTTTTGCGATTCTCTATTTTTTTTTCCACAACGATCCTTTTTTTAATGGGTGTATACAGATATTACAAATATTCGAAACATATGATACAGCTAGCAGACTAGCTAGCTTTGATATACTTTTTCGTTACAAAGGTATACTGCGACCAAGAAACCAATGGCGGTGGATGGACGGTAATCCAGAGAAGACAAGATGGCTCACAAGACTTTTATCTGGGATGGCAAAGCTATAAGCTTGGTTTTGGTAGTCTTACAGGAGAATTCTGGTTGGGTCTGGACAACATCTACCGACTGACCCGAAATATAAAGAACCGTCTTCGTGTTGAACTGGAAGACACGGTTTATGCTGAATGCGACTATTTTGCTGTCAGTAGTGAAGTTGATAGATATACTTTGAGTCTTGGTTCATTTTCTGGTAAGGCCACATGCAGATAATAAATGCAATGACTATGAGGTCACAATATAACTATAATGTCAAATTCCTGAACCCGCGATCTAATATTCATAATAATAACAACAATAATAATAACATAATATTCATAATATAACCTCTACAATGGAAAGTTTGTAAAAATGGACTGCATATTGGAGCTGTCGTGGAACTWGGTAAGTGTTTCCTTTTTGGAAGTCATCTTGAATTAAAAAAAATTTTGACGGAAAGATTGTGTTTCGAAAATCGAGTCATGAATATAATTTTGTTCTCCTTTGGGTTCCTGATCTTTAATTTATATTGGAATCAAATACTCACAACCCCCTTCCGCTGACTGAATAAGTAAGGAATGTGATCGCGGGCTCAGGAATTTGATACATAACTAAAGTGGTACCGCTAGTAATGGAATCAGACTCGTACCCAGTCGTTACTCTCGTGCGAAAAGGATCAAGG